TAATAAACCCTAAATAAACCCTAATTAACCCTAATAACCCCTAAATAAACCCTAAATAAACCCTAAATAAACCCTAATAAACCCTAATAAACCCTAAATAAACCCTAAATAAACCCTAAATAAACCCTAAATAAACCCTAATAAACCCTAATAAACCCTAAATAAACCCTAATAAACCCTAATAAACCCTAATAAACCCTAAAATAAACCCTAAATAAACCCTAATAAACCCTAAATAAACCCTAAATAAACCCTAAATAAACCCTAAATAAACCCTAAATAAACCCTAAATAAACCCTAAATAAACCCTAAATAAACCCTAAATAAACCCTAAATAAACCCTAAATAAACCCTAAATAAACCCTAAATAAACCCTAAATAAACCCTAAATAAACCCTAAATAAACCCTAATAAACCCTAAATAAACCCTAATAAACCCTAATAAACCCTAATAAACCCTAATAAACCCTAATAAACCCTAATAAACCCTAGATAAACCTTAATATAACTTAATAAAACTTAATATAACTTAATGTAACTTAATATAACTTATTAAACCTAACATAAGAAAATTGACCTTCGTGACATTACACAATTACTCTACTTTTGAGAAAGTGAAGTTATTGCAATTTTTGGTTTTCTTGGTTTATTTCTATTATTTTTGTTTTTGCACTGTATCCTGTTCAATATTTTTGGGACATCTTTAATTCCTTAAATGCAACTTTTTTTTGTGTATCATTTAAAATTGTGTTTTATCGCTCGCATAGATTGGTATCTATTTTGCAATTTAATGATGATTAAAAATTAAATTTTCCAGTAGTTGTATGATTCTAATCTTTGTTGTTTATGTTGCGATTAATTCTAGTTAATCATTTTTGCATCTGTGGTTTCTATTTTTAGTAACTATTTTGGAAAAAAAAATTATCTTCTCTTGTCCATTAAGTAGTTACTTTATTATTTTTTTTTTAGTAAATTTTTTTTACTTTATTCAATTTATTGTGTCGAAATAGAATTTACTTTGAACCATTGACATATAAGCGTTGAAAATCAAGGCGGTAAAAAATTTTTTTATTTACATTTTCAATGTTTTAATTAACTATAGTATTTTGTTAGCATAGTTTTATTAAGTTTAAAAAAGATTATTTTTGACTGAGGTTCTACTATGAAAATATAGAAATATTCCGTGAACAGTATGTCGTCAATCTTACTACTACCTCCATTTCATAAAATATAATTGAAGGTCAACTTTTTATCTTCTACTTTCAAAATTTGAATCCCTCTAACACTCTTCTTGTATTTTCTTAGTTTTCTCAATTCAAATTACTCGGTCCTTTTCAGACACTGCCCTGACAGTTTTCAATACCCCTTCCCATTTCCAATTATTTATTGTTCCCCCACCACTCATAATGGTAAATCCCAAATCTAAATCGCTGTTGGGTTGGCCCCCCTTTCTTCCCAATTGGCCCGCAATCCTTCCTCCCCTCCCACTCATTTTCCACCATGGCAATCTTTAGATCACAATTGCCCATCCAAACTTCGAATTGACCCCTCTCTAAATTGGCCCATTCTTCCTCCCACTGATTTTCCTCCATGCACATTTTCCAAATCACAATGGCCATGCGCATTACGAATTGAACCCTCTCCAAACTTGCCCATTTTTACCCTTTACTCATTTTCACCCATGGCATTCTCCAAATCAAACTTGTCTGTTTTCTTGAGTTATTTTGTCTATTTTTGTTTCTGCACTGTATCCTATTCAATATTTTTGGACATCTTTAATTCCTTAAATGCAGCTTCTTTTTGTGTATCATTTAAAATTGTGTCTCATCGCTCGCATAGATTGGTATCTATTTTGGAATTTACTGATGTTTTAAAATTAAATTTTTAAGTTATTGTATGATTCTTATCTTTTTTGCTTGTGTTAAGATTAATTTTAGTTAATTATTTTTAGTAACTATTTTGAAACAAAAAATTATCTTCTCTTGTCCATTTACTAGCTACTTTGTTATCTATATTTTTTTTAAATAAATTTTCTTTACTCTATTCAATTTATTGTGTCGAAATAGAATTTACTTTGAAACTTTGACATATAAGCGTTGAAAATCAAGGCGGTAATAAATTTTTTTATTTTTTCAATGTTTTAATTAACTATAGTATTTTGTTAGCATAGTTTTATTAAGTTTAAAAAAGATTATTTTTGACTGAGGTTCTACTATGAAAATATAGAAATATTGCGTGAACAGTATGTCGTCAATCTTACTACTACCTCCATCTCACAAAATATAATTGAAGGTCAACTTTTTATCTTCTACTTTTAAAATTTGAATCCCTCTAACTCTCTTCTTGTATTTTCTTAATTCCCTCAATTCAAATTACTCTGTCCTTTTCATAAACTCCCTGAAAGTTTCCAATGCCCCTTCCCATTTCCAATTTATTTATTCTTCCCCCACCACTCATAATGATAAATCTCAAATCTAAATCGCTGTTGGGTTGGCCCTCCTTTCTTCCCAATTGGCCCGCAATCCTTCCTCCCCTCCTACTCATTTTCCCCCATGGCAATTTCAAAATCACAATTGGCCATCCACATTTCGAGTTGACCCCTCTCTTCTCAATTGGCCCCATTCCTTCCCTCCCACTCATTTTCCCCCATGCCAATTTCTAATTTACAATTGCTCCCAACCCTCTCTCCCAATTAATTTGCCCCTTCTTTCCTACATCAACACTTCCCCAAGACAATTTTTAAACCAAAGTTGCCCTATCATTTTTTACCTGCAATTGACCATTTCATTCCCCCCTACATATTCTCTCATCAAATGACAATTTACTAGATGCAATTCTTTGTTTTTTCCAGTTACTTTTTTTTTGAATCTTCTACTTGATCCTTTTCAATATGTCTATTTCTTTGAATAAAAAACTTTTCTTTCTATACATACTACGACTATGTCCTCTTTTTTTATAGGTTAGTTTTCACTTTTGATGTTATTAATTTTTTAAAAAAATAATCCTTGCGTTTATGGCGTGTCTGTAGTATAGCATGTCAAGGTTGCTATCAAATTTTGCTGATCGTTTTTTTTGTTGTGTATATTTTTAGTAAATATTGTCAAACTAAACTAAAAATTATTTATTTTTGTCAATAAAATGGATACTGTATAAATATACTCTCTTTAAAATTAATTCTTTTTTGCTTTGTTGAGTTTTTTGTGATTATATAATATTTACTTTGAACATTTCATTGTAACAGTTAAAAATTAAGTCAATGATTTAATTTTTTAACAATGTTTTCAATGTTTCAATTAACTACATTAAATTGTTATTATATTTTCTTTAAAAACTTAATAAGAAGATTATTTTAGAGTGAAAGTGCATTATGAAAGCATGGAAACAGTATATGAACAGCATGTAATTGAACTTTCTACTATTACTATCTCATAAAATATAACTAAAGTTCAAATTTCAATCTTTTTTGCTTTTCGAATTGGAATTTTTCAAACACTCTATCGTGTTTGGGTTGTCCCCTGCATTTTCCTTTCACCCTTTTTCCTACTTTTTTCCCTGTCGTCAATTTCCACATTCTCTCCCATTTCTAATTTACCCATTCTTCCCCGCATCCATAATGGCAATTTCCAAATCAACGCAATCGCCTTTGGGTTGGCCCCTCTTCAATTTCCTCACACCCCTTACCCCACCCATTTTCCCCCATCGCAATTTCCCCTCTCTCTCCCATTTCCATTTTATCCATTCTTTCCCACTCCACACCCATAATGGCAATTTTTAAATCAAAATTGCGAGGGCCCATTCCTAATTGGCCACTCTTTTCAAATTGCCCATCTTTCCCATTAGCAGAAAAAATGCAGTAAAACGTGTGTATATTGGTGCTCAACATATTATGCAGAATCAAACCCAATGGAAACAACAAAATCTCCATTTTACAGTATACTAATATGATTCAACATTGGGTCAATTCTGGAAACAATGGACTCAAACGAGTTTCGGTCAACGATCTGTTTAGTATTTGAAAGTGATTTGCAACTATGAGGGAGAGAATTTGGGGATTTTCTCTCGTTGTGATTCTTGTCAAGCAAACTATCAACTAGGTTGTCCTCTGTGTATTTAGATGAAAGAATACTAGTACTCGTTGGTATTTCGTCTGCCAACTCTGCTTGGGTAAATTCTTCCAATAAATCCATACCGTCGTGAAGCAATCGGTATTAAATAGACTATTGAGGATATATAAATACTATGTGAACTAAAGTCTAGGGTATAATGACTCTTCTTATGGGTCAGAGAGTTTTCTAGTGTCACGATAAAATATCTTGATGAGCTAAAGGGCTCATAATAGACGGACAACCCAGTGTGGTTCAAACAATTCATTTCATTCTGTTAGCAGTGTCCAATCCAGTTCGTATTCATCTTGAGAATGCACAATGAAACTACTCCTATTTGTATCATTTACCTTGTATATATCTTTTTCTATGGTTACAACTTGTCTTTGACTCGCAAATCAACTATCTGTCTAAAGTGAATTCTTAAATCATTTTTTTGAATAGGGTTGTCCTGCTACTATTCATCAAATACTGGAATCAGTCAATTTTACTAATCCAAGTGCGATTATTTGTCAGTTGATAAGTAAATGTGCTAGTATGACACTAAGCAATCAATCATTCAATCAATGAATCAACACAAGCCAAACTCAATTCTTCATCCATAAAGATAACAAAGAGTCTGCTGTGCAAATGACCATGACCCACTGAAAGCTGTACCAGGTTATCAACTTGATTTTGTAATAGCTTAATATAACAAAGATAAGAGACAACTTTTTTTCACGAAAGGAAGTAAACGGACATAACTATATGTCTCAGCATGACTTGAAGTACTAACAATCAAAGGTTAGGATCAAAGTACTTTTTCGTCAATCTTCTCAAGTTATTATGTTGATTCAAATCTTTCAAACAACATAAAACCGAATGTTTGCGTTCTTCTAAATTAGAGTAGAGATGATCTGTGAAGTTCCAAACATACAGTTCCGTCCAATTCAGTTGAATTGTCTCGTATGTCTATGATTCTGTAGTTGACTGCGACATTATGCATGTCCCACTATCTAATCAATCTTTGATGGAACAGATTGGAGTCAAGTGAATTCTATCGAAACTATATAAGTCATAGCCATAAATCTTGATAGTCTGAACGATACCAAGGCTTTTATGAAACTAAGTTACAGGATGAGGTGTATGATAAACAGTGGAAAAAGTGTTAAGGGTAATTTCAAATAGCATATGATCGGTACTCTTCAAATATAGTATTCATAACCAGAATATGAATTCATATGAACAAGGTCAAGTCATTCTATTTGACACCAAGTTCAATAGAAAAGTAGCCAAGGTACATTAAAGTTCCTTTCTCTACAGCTTAAAATTGACCTTGTCACTAGGCATAAATGATATGATAAATACCAAAGGTGTTCTATTTATGACCAACTCGTGCAATTCTTTAGGTAAGGCTCCGTGAACAATAGAATGAAAGACGCTTAACAAACAATTGACTATTCTTTATCAACAACTTCGATCTGATTCTATCAAGCAAAGGACTTGGTCTATTCTCTTTCTTGACATTTGATTGCCCTGCTTTGCACAGTCGCTTATTTCTCCGCTCAATACAGTTTAAACTCGGTTCAACATAGCCGAAACTATGATCTTAAAGTCAGTTGAATTCGAATTGATTCCTGGACACTAGCTCATATCCCTATTGTCTCTAGTCTTGTCGATTAGATAGAAAAATATATCAGTTCCACAATTGAGGGATGTATTGAGTTTTTACTATAGGGAAAGCGAGTGGTCGTAAAACACCAATCACAATTCTAAATAAATGACGAACTATAGAAGAAATAGTATGCCTATTACTCTTCGAGAATAATGCTGTAGTGAGAAGTGTTGTCCTGTCTCTTCTAAGAGTTGCTGTTATTGTTGTCGTCAAATGTGCAAATCAAACAGTAAATTCTGCTTTTATAATCATTTCTGTCAGTTTATACCAAGGCCTCAATGATTTTTGCAATGGAAATAAATACAAGCAACTTTTTTCCGGTCAAGTTGTTGATTGACAAAGATTGATTAGTTCGAATCTAAAACAAAACTATTCGTCGAGTATGATGAGGAGTGATATCCTTCTTCATGGAATACTAGTATCAAGATCGAGTTGAATCATAAGCTTAATATTGTTCTTCCTATAAATGTTGCTGTCTACACTTTCCAAACCAGTAAAGAAAGTTACAACTATATAAAACATAGTATCTACAAAGATGCAAATAATGATTCTGCAAGTAAGATTGTATATTCCTTGCTTTATTCTACAATGTAACTTTTGAAAAGAAATTTGACTGTCTTCTATCAGTGAGAATTGTATGATATTCATTTTTGATAAAAAAATGAATAGCAAGAAGAAGAATAAGGTGAGTGTGAAAAGGATAAAGAATGCCTAAAGTAATCAGGTTCTTTGAAGCATTGGGCAATTTGTAAAGATACGGGATGCCATGGAATACACGTACACTAACCATTTTGTTTTAACAACCTACTTTTTATCTTATGGTGTTCAAATACAGGTCATGCACATCAGTAGAATGGATAAACAAAAACAAAGTACCATAAACGTTCTACTGTTACCAGTATGAGGTAATAGTAGGGAATATTTTTTCTACTAGTGACGACCAGAATATCGTTGATGTTTCTAGTGAGAATCAAAGTCAAGACTTTTTGCTCATAATACTATCTCTGTAGTCTATTAAACTAGAAAGCCATTTCTTTGTTTTTTCACTTTATATCTTTCATCATCTATTTTCTTCCAAAGCAAATTGGTGTATTTTTTTGTTCAGCGAGTTGTATAAAAGTTGAAATGAAACGAATCATTTTCTTCATCTTGTACTACATAACATATAAACATGAAAAGAGAGATTCAATAGCTTCTATCAGAAGGTTACGTTGCTTCTTTTCGCAGCTCGTTTGTGAGCAATCGTCTACAATCTAGTTGAATCTTTTTCTAGATCAAATGATTCTGTGGTCTATGAATAGTATAGTTTATCGCTGTCATACTTTATTTCAATTAAAGTTCAGTTTTTAGTGTTCAGTAATTATTACAACTTTCTTGAAAAGATAAGATAAAAATATGATGACTACTCTCCGACCAGTCAATAGAAACAAGCAATAGACTTTTAGCACAATGACTTTATCAAAAAAGATGATGATTCTATGACGCAAGTTGATCTTGGTACCGAGGCAGTAAAACGAGAACGTGCTCCACCAATATTGATAGGAACAATTGGATTCAAACAAAGTTCAACTGAATTCCGTACAGATACAAGAATGGTGGATGCTGATTGATTTATGCTCATCAATAGTAACATGTTCTCAATATTCTAGAAACACATTGTCATTCTATATGAAATTCAATCCACAAATGTACCTCAATTGAATTGTGGTCGATCACCTGTCCGGTCGTTCACAGAGCATGCAAATATTAAGGGGGAAATTGATGCTTTGTTGCAATTCGGATTCTCACCCAGTGATTCTCGCATGAATTGATCTTCGACTTGATTTTAAGTGATCCAAATAATAGTCTGTAAATCATCCTTTTAGAGTAAAGACTAAATTATTTTAGACAATTCAAGATAATCTTGGACAATTCGACGCTGAATCAAGCATACAGGGTGCCTAAAGACCACATAAGACACTGCTTCGGATATAAAGACTCTGTACATGCAACATCGAGATTTCAAGTGCAAAGGTACAAAGTCTTTCTCAACTTGACAACTAGTATTCAATAGAGTATCAATTCTACCTTAAAGAATCCATCTTATACAAACACTATCTAACAGAAACTCTATTGGATAACCCAATGTCCACATAATGACAATTCAACCAACTCTCTTGTAGATACCCCTAAAAATATAACAACGTATATTAGTCTTACGACCAACTAATTGGCTTTGAATGGAAACGTTGATTCAACTTTTTGTGCATCGAGTTGTGCCGCTATCTTGTCTAACACATTGATTCCATTCATTGCTAGGGCTATATTTCAATAGCTAACTTTGAACGTTTCTAACAAGCAACGCATTTAGATGCGAATACTTGAAAAAAGATTGACATCTGATTCTTGTCTGCAGAAGTGACTATAGCGTACCCAGTAATGGTTGGTTGGAACGAAATGATATTACTGAAAGTACTTTAGGACAAGTAGTTATGAATTGAATCAAGTATAGTTTGACGTGTTTATATCTGAACAAACAACTAGTTAATATCAAAATATATAAACTAGTAGTAACATATTCGTGGCGCTGCAAAGGTATAATGCGATTCATGGCTTGAGTCGATTCGCGAAGCTATCTAGGATGAGATGGTCAACGAAAACGTATCCATTATCGCAAATAGAGTGCAAGTATCGCGGAGGAATAATTGGACACTCAAACACTAGCAAGTTTTTCTCAAACCAAGTCTTCATCTCCCTAGTCCTCGGTATCTTTAGTAATAATACTACTATTAGTACTATATGGAAAATCGTTTTTCTCGGGATAAGGACTAACTCGTTCGATAAATTCAGTATAATCTCTAAGAATTCAAAAGTTGAATCAACCATAGAGGACATTTCATTTACTTATGAGACAGAATTTCTTCTTGATGAGATATTCGACTAGTAATCAACAAATGACCAACTCTTACACAAAATGTCATCTTAAATGAACAGTATCAAGAGATGTCTTACTTTCTTTCCAATGAACAGTAAATCATTGAATTCAGTATACAATTCAAGTAATATAAAACAGTAACCAGTTTCTAGATACGTTGAGAAGGAAGAAATCAAATAGACCTTTTGTTACGTATCTACTAGAATAATTGTGCCATATCCTGTTGAGATTTAACTAGAAGTGGTAAGGTTTAGAGTGTTCTAAAGCAAGTGACTATTACTTCCTTCAATACGGCTGTAACCAGAATAGTTTCGGATATCACACTGAAATAAG